AAATTTACAGCATACTTTTAAAGAAAAAGAACATAATTTGTACTAACTACTTAATATATTGTTCTTTGGAATTTATGAAGCTCAAGGTACAGACGCAATTTTCAGATCCAAAGCTTGATAGATTGAAAAACAGAGAAAAGCCATCGAAATATTTCTTAACCTTAAGAAGCGAAATTGTGAAAAAAGATTATTTCACAGTTCCATAGAGGGGAGGAAGAAGAATTCTTATCAGATTTCAAATAAAAAATCGAAGAAATATTAACTTACTGTAGTCACTTTTACATGTGGCACAACCATTTACAGAAAGTTTGTAGGACTTTCACCTACCCCCCAGAACATTAAAACCAAGAATTAGAAGTCGAAGTCGGAATTGAGGTGCTTCGCAATGCTCTAAAAACTTTCCAAAATAACTCCCCCTGTGAAGATGGGTTCGCAAAAGAGTTTTATAAAGCTTTCTTTAACCTTTTAGGTAATGGGATTGAAAATGGAAATTTAGTTGTATCATAAAAACGACGAATTATTTCACTTCTCCCAAAAGATGAAAGTAGTATGACTACGTTATCGAACTACGCCAAACTTTCAAAACTTTAAGGTGAATTTTGCCAAAAGTTGTATCTTACTATGCTTATTAAAATTTAATAATTTTAGAAAAATTTCACCGAGCCGTTTTTGAATTATAAGCCCCCAAAGCTGTTAGTAAGGGTGTTTTTAGCAGGTCACACTGTTGCTATGGTAACCTATTGTGTCACAAAAACGACAACAACTTGTTCACCAATGATTGGGCAGTTTTTTGATACCATGATTGTAGCATCAAGCGAGAAAGAGTGATTGTAATGACCCATCAAAGTCTAACTGCTGGAAACTGTTTTGAGCCACCTTAAGCTTGCTTTGGATAGATTTCAAAAGATTTACGACAAAAGGACTCATCTTTTGAAAAAAATACCGTCACGTGATTACGGAAGAGAGCAACTTACAAGTGAGAAGTATTTATTGAGCTTACACTTGATGTAATTTGTTGTTCTCAGGTCAAAGTCGTCTTTAGGAAGCAGTACAGGCATTACCGAGCCAGTGCACCAGCAGGCGAAAATGAAGCTACAGAAGTTCAGTCGAAACAGAAAGTGTGGAACTGGGACAGGACTCAGCCGAAAAGCGGCTTCAGTAACACAGGGGGGTGGCCTCGCTCTAATGGCACCGCCTCAGCCATTCAAACAATTTTCCCGGTGACGAGAGATCACTAAGCCATCAGGCGAAAATAGATCAGCTTTTATCACCCACATCATCCTTGTCTTATGATGATGTTGTTAACCTGTACAATCAGTCATTTTCCGACATTGTTTAGACCTCATATGGTATATTTTCCCAAACACAAATTCTAACATTGTACAAATTCAATTTAAATTCACGTGGAGTATAAACTATAAAACAGTTTCAAGCCAATTGTTAATATAGATACATTAATGCATTGTCGGAGTTATGACGAAGTTGGAGTTGTTCTGGGGTACCACAATAGAAATTATAATAAAGCATGTTTTGTTTCTGTCTGCCATTTTGTTGTTTTAACCATACGTCCTGAAATGATCTGCCACGTAAATTTAATAATGTGCAGAGAATTTGCATATGAATATTGCCTACTAAATGCAAATTTAAGGACTAGAAAAAGAAGATCGCAGCAAGGGCTACTGGAATACAAAAAAAGAAAACATTTTTTAGAGATAAAAATCATTGACTTTCTAACAAAAATGCTGACATAAGCATTTTCTCTAAAAATGAACAAATATTTCTTCACAGATTTCCTTAGGATTCGCCTCGACACACAAAAGCAAAATATTTATGAAGATCTC